AAAAAGAAACTAGCTGAGCATCATTCTAGGATAGAGCTTCTAATTTTGTTATTTTATTTGATATAGCAGCCTCTAAACAATGATGCCTTCTATTCTCCACCCCAGGTTTATTATTTTATCTCGTTCATAGTTTGATCTTCTGACGTTCTAAAAGGGAGGAATGGCATCCGAATTTTCCTTTTTGAGTTCAAATGAAAATATTAGTGGTTTTCTAGGACGTAATTCCCCTATTGTTTACTCCCTCCGTCCCATAATTATTGTCTAATTTTACTAAAATGAAATATTTTATTTTTGGTCAAACTTAACTATATTTTTCCTTAAACAACCGGATATACTCCTACATAAGTAATTGTTTAACCACTAAGATTTTATGGATAATGTTTTTTACTAAGGAAAAATATGTAACTTGATCCATAAAAAGTCAAATTGGACAATAATTTTGGGACAAAATTTTTTAGGCAAAATAGAATATAATTATGGGACGGACGGAGTTTTTTTTTAAATTCTAACTTTGATGACTTTTTTTTTTTCAAGTCTAGCTCTCTAGCTGGTCATAAAGTCATCAAGACCCAGAAGGGAGAAATGAAACGTGCACGAATACTTTAATGCATTTACTGGAGTTACTTATTTTATGCTAAGCCGTTCTAGCCTAGCTAGTGCGCTCCTTTATTTGTACATACTTTCTCTCCGTCTTAATTTATTGTTCAATTTAAAATTTTAGTATAATTTAAACTAAAATAAAAATCCAAAATAAACCATAATATTTTGGGACGCAGGGAGTAATTCCCCCATTCAATCATAAGTAAGCACAAAATTGTTGAAATTTGTGTTGGGAAAATTGTGAACCGTGAACCTCGTCACCTTAGTACGTCTTTAGTTAAATCAAGCTGCCGAACGCAGAGTTTTGAAAGCAACATCCGCTGATCTTTAATTGGTCAACATCATTTTATGGTTGAGTGAATGTCATCCCTCCATCCTCTCCAATAAAACTATAAATTGCACAAAATAAACACATTGTCACTTATTCAACGATCCAATCACATCCTAGGACTAATGGCCATATAAATTTTTTTTCAACTGCTTCATCATTCAGCCATTTGAGGTACGAATTATTTTTTGATACATATAGATAAAAAGCTATGTTTTCAAAACCGGACCCGAAGGTGAACCGTTAGCATAACCGGGTTGGTGGATTTATCGGGTTAACGGGTTAGTTCGTTCCTCGAAATCAGTGAAAACCGGTTAAAATAATATTAAAAATTAATTTAAAAATTAATTTTTTAAAAAAATATATGCAAAAACCGGTTCAACCAGTACCGGTTTCTGATCAAACCGTGGTTTTCGAGTTTGACTGGATTATACAGAATCCGTTTTTTTTATAGAAATCGGACCGGTGAGGTTTCCAGTTCTCAGGCTAACCGGTTAGACCGCCTGGGCCGGTCCGGTTTTGAAAACACTGATAAAAGGTACACGAGGCGTAGAAATGAATACAAGAGCTAAATGAAATGATAGCCCCTTTCCATTTCAATCACAATTGTAAGCATTCTGTTGCATGCCCAAGTCTAACATGTTCATTGTACCGAAATCATTACCATAGTTCAATTGGTGGAAAATTTTCCCGTCACTATTCATTGTACCGATTACCATTACGAATATATAGTTGAAATTATGTTGATATAGGCACCTTAAAAAAAAAGAGAGAGAGCTAAAAAAGAAGTGTTCTTAGGACTGTTATTTAATTATTGCTCTATTAGTAGACTAGTTCAGTTAAACTTTCATCTCAATCTACTTTACCTGTCTTAATTAAGAAAAAGAATAACTATCATAACTTTTCCTTAACCCAAGAAAATTGAGTCTAAACTTTTTCTTCTTTTCTTTTCCTCCAATTTTAATCAAGACTACAATCAAATACTTTCACTAAGAAAGACTAAATTCTGTATAAACATGCAACAAAGATTATTTAACTTGATGTTAGAGGTTTACGCGCAATATATTTTGTCATGCCTTATAAAACCAAGTCTGCTACTTTTACTGGTGGTGGATCTCTTAAATCTAACTAACATCCTACTTACTCATAAATCAAACCCTAACAAGACATGCATGGATATACATAGATGTCAAAATATAAGGTGACATAATCTTACTAGTTACCAATAAAGAAAATCCATGCCTTAATCCAAATCTTTAACTAAAAAAGTTCTTGTTTATTTAGGATTGATTAGTTATCGTTACTAACAGGACGCACATTCTAAGGAGCAATGATTCCGCAGCAAATTGGCTTAGAGAATATATAAGATTTTGTAGGGATAAAAGATTGAAATGACCTTCACTTTCAAGAGTGAGCGGTACCAACTTTCGGTGACCTGTCCTTCTCTTAAGCTCACAGCCAAAGCCAAAAGATTCTTTTTGTTTCGGACTCTCTTCCCATTCGAAACTCCAAAAAGTCCATAAATCGAATCTTTTTGGTGGCTTTAAGGTCAAGTCTGTTTACCAATCAATTATGAAAAGGACCAAAGAATTTTGAAAATTTCCTTCAATCAAAATCTTGCACATTAATTAATCCTTTTTTATTTTATTTTTTCAATTTTTTGCTTCCTTGCCTTATATCAATATCATATACAACATGGGTGTGGTAGTTGTCATTGTAGATTGGTACAGAATTATAGTCATAAGAAAAAGGGTTACGAACTTTTGATCATTATCATTCATTTTGGAAGTTCCAAAATGATGGAAGACGACAGTTCTTAGAGCACTTAGTTTAATATCACACGGATTAATGATAGCATAGTCTTATATTCTTCATCAATTTCTTCCCCCTATAAAGTAATGATTCTTTTATTCTTTTCTATCCAAATCCATTCCGGGTTTTGCTGAGAATCGACAAATTTTCTGATATCATGATTAAGCCAAATCGATAATTGTTTATTTCTAATTTGGTAGCAACAAACCGAGTATATAGTATACATGCATGCAAGATAGTTCAAACAAATCGGCTGTAGGAGAATCAATACTACCTACTATTATATAAATTGCGTACCAAAACCAATTAATCATAGAAGGACTAGTTTTAAATGTGATAAGATTGTTGAACATTTTCTAATGGAATATTTCAATCTTCTTATGAACTTTATGCTTGTATGAACTGCTTTTTAGAAAACGATCAACCCAATTGAAACTTGAAAATCTCTAGCGTCTAGGAAGTTTGGAAGATATTTTTTTACCTTAAAGAAATGTTCAAGTAGATGAAATGTTGAATGTTTTGTCCCAAGTTGGTTAGCTAGTATTGATGCTGCATGTTATATATCTCTTATCTCTAGACTAAAAGGTGGTTTGGTTAAGGCTAGCTAGACTTCTTGTTTGCATTAATTAATACCCTTTTCTTTTTTCTTCTTTGTGTATTTAAATTTCTCGCTATGTTTGGTCTACTATTTTAGCAGGTCTTCACGCATGAATACTCTTTTATCATTAAATTAAGATCGTCTTCACGCATTAATACTCTTTTAGCCATGAGATCATACGCTAATGTTAGAATACACTATTCCTTCCGTCCAAATTCAATAGGTTACTTTACTATTTAAGGGTGACCAATAAATAGGCTGGTTTCCCTTTGAAGATGTACTTTTTAATGAAATTTCAAATGTACCCTTAATTTAATTAACCACTTATCCATCATTAATGTCTTTATAAGAGTATTTTAAGAATATAAAAATAAAATAGTTAATTAAGTTAGTTTTATTAATCTGTATGAAAATTGGTACAAACCTATTAAATTGGGAGGGAGGGAGTATATAGCGAGTATTTTAAGCACACAACATGACCCTCAAATGTAACCAAATGCATGCAAGCCAATGAACATTGAAGAATTCGAAATCGGCACGGTTAGTTATGGTTGTCCGCGATGACGATCTACACAATAGAGGAAAGAGTTCATAACCTGTAAGAAAAGGGTTAACCCTCCGGTTACTGCTGGTATCGTTCTTGAAAAAAAAAAAAGGAAAAAAGCAAAATAGTTTGGTTGTGCCAATATCCCATGCCTTAGTTTCGCCATTATTTAACTCCCGTTCACAAGGGAGGGGATCACTATAGCACTTTCATAGTATTTTGCTCTTTTATTAGGGGTTTATATGGTTTTGTGGTCACTATGTTTTTTCTTAGGGGTAGTGGTAGTGGGAGGGTACGGGCTTAGGTGGTGCTGTCGTCGATTTCGATCGGACTTTTTTCTTTTTCTTTTTAATTTTTTTTTCCTTTTTGTATTTATATAACTTGTAAAGTTAGAAAAACAAAAGATAATGTCAATTTCATAGGGGAAGAGTGGGTTGGAGAAAGTGCACGCGTCATAACGTTCTAACATGGTCATCCCCCCCATTTTTTTTGTCAACCCTTTCATGAAAACGGTGGTGGAAAGGTCAAAGGAGGAAACACTCATCAACGGTGTCAAATCCACTGTTTTTCACATTCGGTTGACAAAGCCTTATCTTTTTTCTTATTATTTTTTTTTAGTGCAATGAATGAGGGGGAAAAAAACTTGTTTAAAATACATACATACATAAGTTTTTTTTTTTTTAAATGTTGTATTGAAATTATTTTCAAAGCTCGAAGATTATAAATGGTTATTGTTATGTTCGATCCTTGTGTAAAAAGATTTTGTTTTCGGCGGTGTTAGCAAGCGATCATGCTTGAATGCAGTGTTATATATACTTTTATGAACCGGATACACTTTTCGTACTCTATCTTTTGACGGTAATAAGATCAAGTCTTTATAAATTTTTAATTGGCAAAAATAATTTCCTCAAATATTTTTCTCGTCAATTTTAATTAATTTAACAGAAATATTTTAAAACTAACGGGAGAATGCCACATTTCGTCAATTTCTCTTATTATATTTTTGTTCTGTTTAGTAAAAAGGGTCTCTATATCTTATGAAGATATTTTGTCAAGGTGGTCCGGTCAACAAAGCATTTGAAAATGTCTCATTTATGTTTGCTTACGGGTTAAATTTTTTCCAGTATTATTAAACTCAACTTGTATTATTTTTAGCAAATAATATATATCAAAGTAGGGTCCTAATGTTGCTGTTTTTATTGTCAGAAAAAAACAGCAAGTTGTTGACAGTTCAGTTTTTCCACCATGGAGAACTCAAGAAAGAACCTTACCCACATTATGAAGGTGGAGAGACGAGTGTTTACGACCATATTGACTGTAGTGCCCTGCTGCTTGCTCATCTACGGATAATGTGTGATGCTACATCTGGGAACAAGGGGGGGGGGACTAAGTTTTTCTGCATCAATGAGGGGGTTGAAGAGGGTGATTTTCACGAGGTTATCACTGACACTAAACTTCAAGAGTTGTATAGAGATGCTCTAGCTGGTGATAGGCTACTAATACTATATGACTATCCAGTTAATGATGTGGTTGATGAGACAACTGGTGAAGATGCCGAAAGTGAAAGCGATAGTGATAGTAGTGATGGAGATTGGGATGAAAAGGATTCGGAGTATGACCAGGAAGAATCTGAAAATGACTATGACTTTGCAGCTGATGACAATGGTGGTGTAGAAGGGCCTAAAAAACATGAAGCATCTACATTAAGTGCAGGAGCTAAAAAGCTATCTAATTCTTCAGTTGGAGCTAAAAAGGTGCAACCTACATCACTGAGTAAGGCTTACAAGTATGATGAGGGTAACTACGATGACAACAGTGGGTCGGAACTGGAACCAGATTCTGAGGAAGACTTGCAGAGTATACAGGGATCAGATCCTGAAGATGTCGACATGCCTATGTTGTTTCATCCTAAGGACATGGACAAACCACCCTTGAGATGTGGACTAACATTTAGTTCCCAGGCAGAATGTAAGGAAGCAATCAGACACTGGAATATTAGGAGAGGCAAAAGATGGAGGTTCAAAAAGGATGACAAACACAGAATAAAGGTTATTTGTCCTGAGAAGTACAAGAAGGATCATAAAAGCAAAACACTTAAGCAGTGTGACTGGATGATATATGTCAGCATATACAATGAGTCCCCTATTGTGACTACGCTTGTGACTCGGCATAAGTGCAAGTTTAGGCAAAGAAATAAGAGTGTGACATCAGTCATTGCCGGCAGGATTTGTTCTCAGTTGGTGAAGGATAACCAGATCATCACAACCATAGATTACAAGAGACTTGCAAAGGAGAAATACAAGTCTATTCTCACTAAATCACAGGCTTATAGAGCAAGGAGGAAGTCCATGAGAATTGTGTATGGGAATGTTGAAGATCAGTATGATAAGCTGAGGGATTATTGTGGGGAAATAATGAAGAGTAATCCTGGTTCTACGGTAGCCCTAGTTGCAGATCCCATGTTTGTGGATGAGATAACAAGTCAGGCAAGATTCCTCATATTGTACATCTGCTAAGCTGCCCTTAAAGATGGATCTTATCATCATGCATGCCTGTTATAGGGTTAGATGGGACATTCTTGAAGGGTGCAACCAGAGGTATATTACTCACAGCCGTAGGAGTTGACCCTAACAATGGGGTATACCCTATAGCATGGGTTGTTGCTGAGGGTGAGACAAAATGTATCCTGGGAATGGTTTCTTAATTATGAGAGACAAACAGAAAGGTTTGATTCAGGCTTGTGAAACGGTCTTTCCAAATGCTGCTCACAGGTTTTGTGTGAAACATATGCATCATAATTTTTCTGATAGTGGGTTTAGGGGTGAAGCACTACGACAATTGCTCTGGAAAATGGCTAAGTCCACAACAGAGAACGAATTCTATGCGTATATGCTACAGATGGCTGAGTTGAATAAAGATGCTGCAGATTGGTTTAATGAAAAACCAAAATCTGAGTAGGTAAGGGCTTTTTTCAGTTTTCTGGCTAAATGTGATATTTTGCTGAATAACCACTGTGAATCTTTTAATGGTATGATTAAAGATGCTAGATCTATGCCAATTGTAAGCATGCTAGATGAAATTAAAAGGATTATTGTAGAGAGGTTTTATGAAAAGGGTCAATGGTTTGTGGAGTGATAGGGCAATATGTCCTAGGATTATTAAAAAGGTAATCAACAACTCAAAGCAGGCGAAACTATGTCATGTTACACCTTATGATGAGTTCCATTTTTTGAGGTTGAAGGGGGAGGGGGTGATATTGGAAAGTATGTTGTGGACTTGAAAGAAAATACCTGTAGCTGTAGAAAATGGCAGCTATGTGGCGTACCTTGCCCGCATGCCATATGTGCTGCTTGGTGTGTTGACAAAGGGCCTTTGGATTTGGTAGATCCCTATTACAGTGTTGAAGCATACTAACAGTGTTATGGTCCTTGTATCTTGCCAATGAGAGGTGAATCAGAATGGGAAAAGGCACCGGGATTACAATTTCATCCCCCACTTTATGGTAGACCTCCAGGGAGGCCAAAGAGTACCAAAAGGAAAAAGAGTGTTTCTGAAAGAATAATTGAGGTTGATGGAAAACAGAAGCGGAGTAAGGTTGGGCAGACAATGAGTTGTAGTATATGTAAAATCTCATGTCATAATAGGAGAAAGTGCCCTTCAAGGACAGCCTCACAAGGGACATGAAATCAACCAGCTACTATGCCCGCCACTGGTGAGGGTGGATCCAAATGTGGCTCTTGTGGACTCACAGGTCACAACCAAAGGAGACGCCCTTTCATTGACCCACCAGAGGGGATTGTAGACCTTGGCAGCAATGTTGATGACCTTTTTGATGCTGTAAACCTTGGAGCAAACACTGATGTCTCGTCTCCTGTAAGTGCTCTTTGATTGCAAATGAATTATATCATTTTCTGTAAGATCACAAGATTAGCATGTTTGTTGTGTAAATAGGGCAAGAGGAAGCTTGGAGACCCTGATGAGTCCAACTGCGAAAGGCTGGTCTTCATGAAAGCCATGTTGCGGTAAGCTTACTTAGTATGGACTTTCATTCTATTTTCTGATGTAAGTGTAATCTGTATTGCATTTTGATGCAAAATTTTCTCAAGAAATGTGGTCCAATGAAGTTTTGCCAACAAAGAAAATACAACACATAAAGAAAAAACAGAAAATGGGCATGGTACATGTAAGTGTAATCTATCATTATATTTTACAATTTTGATGTGTCCCTTTATAGACACATCATTAATTTTTTCATATATTATCAAAGGAGGAAAAAAGGGCATCAGTCTGGTTCTCTTCTTGGTGGTATACATAAGGCGAAACCAGAAGCGCTGCGTAGAAGCCCTAGGAAAACGCAAGCAGCTGTAAGGATTCTATATTTTTCCCCATGCCTTGCAAGTTTCTTAAGTATACCATCAACAATTTCATCTGGTGATTTTTCCTTGTTCGTTATTTTTAGACCCAACCCGAACCCATAGTTCAAAAGGAGAAGGGGAAGAAAAAAATGTCGACATTATTCAGAGTTCATCTCAGCCCATAAAAAATCCCAAAAATATGAAAAAAAAAAAAAGAGAAATGGAAGAGGAAAATGTCAACATTATTTCAGAGTTCATCTCAGCCCATACAAATTCCCGAAAATGTCAAGATTGAAAAGGAGAAGGGCCAAGGAAGACAACAGGTTAATGTCTAGTCTTTGTGTTTAAGTGTCGTATTTTAATATTGTTGATTATAAGATTTAGGCTTTTACTATGTAATCTGTAATTTTCCCTTCTTGTTTTTTTCAGAGTTTATCTCAACCCATCAAAATTCTCAAAAATGTCCAGATAAAAAAGGATATAAAAAAGGGAAAACAGAAGGTTAATCTGAACTTCTTAAGTAGTTGGATTGAATTGTCAAGTTCTTTGTTAGCCTGAATTAATTACTTTTTTCTTTCATGTTAATGTCTTTCTCAAACCAAGACTGATAACAAGGAGCAGCAAGATGCTGAACCAGACGTAATGTTCTTAGATGATCCTGTTCATCAGGTGAAGCAACTACAAGGTAGGACAATCAGTGTTAATCTACCTGGGAAGGATGATGAAAATAAGAGCATAAAATCCAAGTACACTTAAATTTGTATCTTCACAGGTGAAGCAACTTCTTATGGTGTTTGTTCTATGGCAGAAGGATGATGAAGACAAATAATCTCATTTGTAATAAACACAATGGAAATAAGATTAAAATGTGCATATCAAATGCCACAAACAGATCACTAACATTCCATTAAGATCATCCATTAAAACCCGAAATACATTCAACTTGCAAACCATGATCCTACCTTCCAATACACTTCTAATACGAACAAAACATCAACAGCTGACATCATCCTACCTTCTACACTCCCTAAGACTAGGACACAGATCAACACGACTACAACTTAGACACAAAAGAGAAGTAAGCTAACTACAACTTGGACAATTTATCAAACAGCTTCAGTGCATTCTTCGTTCCCTTCATATAAAAGAAAAAAAGACCATAGCTACCAACACAATTGCAGCAATTTGGGTCCAAAATAGTTTCTTCTAACTGCCTAATTTCTTCATCATTTGTGTTGCATCTTCTGAGCAATCCAGGGATGATTGCCCTTGCTCTAGCACACACATCTGGGTCATGCCATCAAAAAAAATTACACTGATCATCCGTCTACAATTCTAAAACATCACACCATTGAATTCCCTTCAACTTATTACGAATTGAATATTACTTAAAGAAATTTAACTTACCGGATACAGAGGGCAACCCCAAAACCTTCTCCCAGGATGATCGTCCTTCCAATAAGTTACTAAGTTTGCAATCAACCCACACCGACACCTCACAACACCGTTTCCTCCTATCTGCAACTTTCCCTTTCAAAATATGCTGCACTTCTTTTCTTTTTTTTTTTTTTTGACAATAATACTTTATAAATCAACAAAGGTTGAGGATGAATCACATGTGTTTATGCTATGTGGAGGGTGTTTTTTTGGCGCGAATTTTGCTCCCAACTTCGCGCCTTCTGAGAGTAATTTGCCTCTTTTATTTATTTTTTTTGGTTTTTTTATTTTTTTTGGTCAAACTGTGGGTCCCACAAACAGTAACGAAATGAATATAAAAAGAGAGAATTGATGGGAGTAGATTTGTCCCGTTAATTTTTGAAAAATTCTGTTAAATCAACTGAAATTGACGAGAAAAATATTGTAGGAGACTGTTTTCGCCAATTGAAAATTCATGGTAACTTGATCTTACTACTCCCAAAGTTGGGGGACGTAAAGTGGATTTTGTCCTACTTTTATCCTACATTGAGAAACGTAACATTTTCTTTTGAGGCTTTTTTTTAATTCAAGTGATGTAAAACAATCCTTGTGTGATAAATTGTTACCAGTGGTTTTTTGAGTACATATTTCTTTCGGTGTATTACACGCATTTAAAATTTATTTGAATCGTTGTTTGAACCCACGCCAAAGTGAACTTTGTCACTTGTACCTTGGTAAGTTTGGAGTAGTATTTTCCAATGTATGGGTTTTGTAGGTTATCAATGAAGAAATTCAACAGTTCACTTAACTAAGTAACATTACTTAGTTTACTTAATTAGGAGAAAAATATAGAATTGTAATGGTGAAAAAAAAAATACAATTGTTTCATATCCAGGTTTGGACAAAAGGTCCGTAATAAACCAGTTACTGACAAACCTCTTTCGAAGTATAGTTTCTCAAAACAAAAAAAAAAATTAAAAAAAAAATCATGATGAATCTCCCAAAAGGTTGTATTCAGATCATGCTCCATCTAGTGGCGGTTGGAAGATGCGTCCATCATTTTTCTTCCATGAGAAATGTTTTGTTCAGTATACTTCTTCTGAAGTAACAGATTCCACTCAACCATTTCTTTGTGGTTACGAGGCTCCCAAATTGGTTCATCAGAAGTTGTTGTTGATGAATGTGCAACTTTGTTGTACAATACTTAACCAAATAACATTGGCGAGTTTTGAATTCTCGACCTTTAACATATATGTTACTATTTATAAAGTGTATACGATTAAACACGCCATTACAATGAAGTATACATAAGCTAAGTGGGGAATCTAAACGCTAGGAAAAAAGTTGGCTGCGACATTTTAGGATCATTTTGTTGATGACCCCCCAATTTAAGTGAATGCAAAAACTGCTCAGTTTTGGGAGTGATCAGTGGCCTTTTTTTGGCCAATTTTGTAAAAGCTTTTTTACTAATGGGCTATATCTTTCTTTGATTCTCGATATGCATTTCCTTGTCTTTTGAAACTTTTGCTTCCTTCGAATCTAAAACACTCTAATCTTAATTAAACCTCTCACTTTGAAGAATCCAGAGTTTCAACACTATATAGTCGAAACGAGGTAAGCTAAATATTTCTTAACTCCAATAATAACAAATTTTCTTCCATTTCAAGACTAGATAGAAAAAACAAAAAAACAAAAAAGAGACATGTTTGTTGTGTTATTCAGCAAACATGATTCGTTCTTCCAAACGGAAAGCTAACTTGTAAAATGAGAGAAAACTAAAATAATTTAAATAGCTGATGCTATTTTGTTTTCCTTTCTCTTTCTTTTTCTTTTCATCAAAGTATAGGCTAATTCGATAATTAGGTGGTGTCCTTCTGCTCGTGACCTTTGGATCAAACTCGAGCATCATTTTCTTCAACAATCTACAGTGCGTAGATCGCAACTACGCTTAAAAATTCACAATTTTAAGAAAGGTTCTCTAACAGTCAATGATTTTCTCACTTCATTATCAACTATGGCGGAAGAGCTTTCTGCTGTTGGGGATACTATCCCTGGTCATGATCTTGTTATTCTCGCTCTTAATCGTCTCTCATCTGAATATACTTTCTTCATCACCACTATAGAGAATCTCAACCCTCCTCCCTCATTCACAGATCTTCGAGTAAAACTGCTTCTCCATGAGCAACGTTTGCAATCATTTTTGCCTTCACCAGAAGCCGCACTCCATACTACTGTGAACATTCCAGTCAATAGTTCTCGCTCTCGTGGTAAACAGTCACAACCCAATGCAGGTCGTGGTCGTGGTCAACTCTCTCCCTACTTTCCTAATAACTCAACTTCGCACTCATTTTATTCCAACCCCAATTCATACGGTCCACACCGTCCCTTCAACACTATCCAAAATCGCCCAAACCAAGCCCAATTCCCCACCCATCCTTCTACTCCCTATAAGCCTTATACATCATCCTTTAGCCCTTACCCCAACTTTACCCAACAACCCAATCCTACCCAATGCCAAATCTGCAAAAAATTTAACCATTCCGCTGTTTTTTATCGTTTCCGCTACGCTGAATAATCAAACTCATTGTTCTTCTGCTCCCACAAACATGCCCATTGATTTTCACACCTCCACTGTCCAAGAACCCCATCTCAAGACTTTTCATCCTTTACATCTAGTGACATCCTTGAATGGCTTCCTGATTCTGGCGCCCAGGCTCATATGGCACCTGATCCTCTTTTAGTGAATTCTACCACTCTATATCATGGTAAACAGCAAGTGGTTGTTGGCAATGATACTACTCTTCCTATTACTTCTATTGGTCACACTGCACTCACCAAGTACCCAAAACCTCTTTATTTACGTAATGTTTACATTGTTTCCCAACTTACTACAAACCTTTTATCTGTTAATTAAATTTGTCACTGATAATTCATGTTTCATGGAATTTTCTCATATTAGTTATGTTGTGAAGGATCTAGTCACCAAAACTCCGCTTCTCGCGGGTAACATCCACAATTACCTCTATCCTATAAAGATTCCTAAGACATTCTACAATCCTGTAGCTCTGGCTGCCCGTACTATTCCTCCTGATTTTTGGCATCACCGTCTCGGACATCTGTGTCACTCAACTCTTTCATCTTTAGCTCGATCTTTGTCATTTAAATCTTCCAAAATAAATTCTTGTAATTCTTGTTTGCAATGCAAAAGTACTCGAATTCCTTTTACTCCATCTTCTCGTGTTTCTAAAGTGCCGTTACATTTAATTCATCATATCCAGTTTCTTGATAGATTTTTTTGGTGACCTTCTGTTGAAAATATAACCTTGTCTCATAAGAATAGATGGAGATGCTTAAAACCAATATTTAACCACATGTGCTACTCTCCTTATCACCAATTGGTTTTAAGGTGTAATCACATGTGGGCTTATATTTAGGCCTTCAAGATGATTCTGTACGAAGGTTCACCGGATTTTCAGTTTACCTCTTCTAAATTATACACTCAATAATAGAAAAAAGACCGATGCTAAATGCCTTCTCTTTCGGAGTTAGTCTCTAGACCTCTTAAATTTTCAGTATATTTCTGTTAAATTAAATCGGGAATAAACGTCAAATACCTCTCAAATTGTAAAGAAAAGAATAAAAATAAATTATAAAGAAAAGAAACGAAAGATGCAATGATTATAGTAAGTTGTAAAAAGTGCAAATGGGCAATTGGCCATCCACATTGGAAGTCGCTATTCTTTACAGCAGCAAAATTGATGATGGTACGCTGATAGCTACTACTAACCTTATCAGTGTATTCGGTTGGGCAAACTGTTTCACTGTATTTAAGACCTAACGTTTGACTTTCCAATATTGTCAGTTCTATTAATTCCTCGATCTCCTCAGAGTTTTCTCCTTCGGATTAAACACGTGATGTTCATCGTCAATCAATCTCAGCTCATCGTGTTATCATTAAATTTTGGAAAATGTCCTTGTTCATCCCTTTTAGTTTCGAGTTAATTTTTTTCTTAGGAAAAATAACTTCATTGCTTAATTACTGGAAATCGTCCAGTACCAACTGAGTTACAAACTTTCGAGTTTTGGAATTGAAGAAAATTAAAAGATTACAAAACTCACACGTGAATTTGTTGAGGAATTGAACCATAACTGCTAAAGTAACTGAACTTAAGCCATGATAAATTAGACTGTCCCGACAAATTGGTTTCACATGCCAATAATCTAACTAAATTAACTTAACAGTTTCATCTAAGTTTGGGCTTGCCTCAACTTATTTACTCTTTTTGAACTATAATCTCTCTTAATCTCATTGATTCATGGTTAGTTGAATGAAATTATCATTACAAAGTGTACAGTAAAGTTGATAGAACAAATCATATTGTACGATCATTCGTATAATT